TTTCCTTTGACTTTCCTCTTGTTCCACCATCATGTTCAGCCTTCATATGGGTTTCAGTAATTCCTCTTGGTTACATTACCTGTGGTCACGCCCTATGGGAAAAGAACGCCTTATTTTTTTCCCATGAGGTAGCTGGTAGTTTCAAAACACTGACCTTGTAGTAACCAGCCCAACTCATAACACACTACACCAGCAAGATCCTGAGTCTGTTGAGTTAAAAGATTAGTATTAATTGGAGGATTAGTTAGGGTCTATCCTAATTCAGCATACTCTCAGTTTAAATTGATTACATCTACAAATATATTTTTTCCCAATAAGGTCACATTCAAAGGTGTGTGGGTAGACATGAAATTTTGGAGGACACTGGCCTACTACAAGTGGTCTTGCTGATTCTCATTCTGATTTTTCCATACTTTTTCCCTTTCTTTTCTACTCTGGTCTATTCTGGTGATCTGATGAGCATTTGGTATGATCTCACTTCTGTTTATCAAATGAGGTGTTGCATTGGGTAAATCTGCTGCCCAAGACCTTTTTAAAGTATGTCACTCTGAGCACTAAGGTGCACCTGAAATAAACACAACGGTATTTTCAGTCACCCTCATATACATGTTAAAGTTGGGTAAGGAAGACCTCAAAAGAATCAATTAATGTGAATTCTGGTATTGGCAAGGAATATTGAAAATACCATGGACTGCATAAAGAACAAACAAGCCCATCTTGAAAGAAATACAGCCAGAATGCTCCTTAGAGCATGGCAAGACTACATCTCACATGTTTTGGACATGTTATCAAGAGAGACCGTTGCTTGGAAAAGACATGATGCTTGCTAAAGTAGAAAGCCAGAAAAAAGAGAAAGACCCTCAACTAGATGGATTGCCGCTGTGGCCGCAATAATAGGCTCGTTCTGTTGTACATAGGATCGCTGTGAGTTGGAGCTGATTTGACAGCACCTAATGACAACTTCTTTATGTAGAAAGACTTCTTTAGAGAATGAAGATTATAGCGAATGGAAAGAAGAAAAGCATACGTTGTAGAATGAAGTCAACATAGTTTAACTGAGTATATGATATTTTCCCACTTTCTCTAATTTCTGTTCCCAAGGATTTCAGAAAAGAAAGTGTTAAGTGAAGGCATATTCTCCATACAATACCCCCCTCATTTCTGATACCACCTGCAAATTTGGGCATCCAGCACCACCTTCCATTCTAAACGCCACCCTTCATTTTGATAATTAGCTCAAAAGACTCAAACTTACTGAAAGCTGTTACACTCATGGTTACAGCTTTTTATTTGGATGGGATGCACATTGAGCTAAATGCAAAATTTCCCTTGCATCTTTCAGTGGAATGTGGACACATTATTTTCCTTATATTGATGTGTAACATTATTCATGAAGTATTGCCAGGAGAGCTCACTTGAGCTTTGGTGTTCTGAGTTGTAATTAGGACTCTAATACCTATGTAGATATAGTTTACGGATTGATTGCCACATAGTTGGCTTGAGTCTCCAGGTCCACTGATAATGACCTGGAGTGGACATTAAAATCACCACCGTAAATCACATAGTTGTTCTTTATGGTGTCAATAGAACCCACCCTACACAAGGACATTCCTATCAGCCAAACCTTAAACAAGGCTAAGTTTTTTGCTGTATAAAAGTCATCCCAACTTTAAAGTTTTCCCCAGTTATTCACTAGAAACAGAAAGGAAGTAAAAACTTGAGTTGCTTGAATTCTCATTGTGGAGCACATTCTTTTTGCATTTTAGCAAAGTGTCAACTTGTGGAATGGAGAAGATGTAGAGTCTGAGTGTTGCAAAAATAAACTAGAGGAAAATAAATAAATAACTAAACTAGAGGAAGATAGCCAATTAGTTCTTAAAACCTTGATCTCTACTACTAATATCAGTCTTTGATCACTACAATGTGGAAAGGCTGAAAGTATGCATGTTGAATATATCCTAGAATATTCCATTTGTATTCTTTATGGCTTTTAAAAATACATTGTTGCGTGTTTTCTTTTCTCCTTAAAATACCTCTTGGAATCATTGAATTTTGCCCCGAACTATGAACTATATTTTCTGCATATACAAAATCTCGTTGACATCAGCGTGTTCATTGTAAATTTCTACTATTTTAAAAGAACTTTAGAATTCTAAGCATCATCTGTATAATTTGTTTCTCACGTTGATAATCTGAATGTAAATACAAAGCTAATAAAGTAATTCACAAGTAGTAACAATTAGCCAGGCTATTCTAACATTTAAATTTTTTTTTCCTAATAGATGAATGAACCAAATGCCTATGGAAATACACCTCTTCATGTAGCCTGCTATAATGGACAGGATGTTGTAGTGAATGAACTAATAGATAGTGGTGCTAATGTAAATCAAAAGAATGAAAAAGGATTCACACCTTTGCACTTTGCTGCAGCATCAACACATGGAGCATTGTGTTTAGAGCTTCTAGTTGGCAATGGGGCTGATGTCAACACAAAGGTATGAAACAATTCAAAATCCATACTTTATGCGTGTAGGAATTTTCTCTAAAACAATGTCAGTAATGAATACCCCTCATCGGTAAAAGGAACAAACCACTGAGTGTCTCAAGAACATGGATAAGTCTTAAAAATATTTTGCTGAATGAAAGCCTTTCACAAAAATATTTATTGTGCTCCATTTACATGTAGTTCAAAAATGTAGTTGAAAAAGCAGGCGGGTCAATGAGTTGACTGGTAAAACAGGTCATGAAGGAATAATAGATGAGAATAGTGTTTGTTGTTTTGTGTCTGTAAGGTAAGCACTTGTCAAAACTCCTAAAATGATATGTTTAAGATTTGTACACAGCATTCATTGTATATAGATTTTTCCCTCAGAAGAATGAAAACTTAAAAAATGGTGTACTCCTAGTTAAGGATAATCATGCCGTCGTGTTTAGGAGTGACCTTGGTACTTGTAATTAGCTAACTTTAAAATGAAGACTCAAGTGATTGAGAGAGAAATTGATCTGTGGTGTAAAGGATATAAAAGCCGTTTCCGAGGTTATGAATGAGCTCCATTCCTGGCTGTGTCTTGGAATTTGTAGTTGGATCAAAGCGGGTGCATATGGTTCTAGGTAGTCTTTTGTGCCAAAAAAGGTTCGAAGCTTCTTTTATGATTCAAAACTGCAAGTGAAGGTGATGGTAGTAAAGAAATTGTTGTTGAGTAGAGGGTTGGTTCAATTGTTTCAAAGTGAAGCCAAATTTACATAACACTAAAGGACTCATTAGGGGTTGTCCATAAGTCAGGCGTTTCTAACCCAGAGACTGCCTGTATAGTAAATATTCATGATCTGTTGAGATGTGTATGGATGTTCATTTTACAGTTCTTTCAACTTTTCTGCTTTGAATTTTTTTTTGAGGGAAAACAAATTATTACCAGTTTTCCCATAAATAATACTTTTTTTGTTTATTCGATCACAGGAGAGGGTATTTGAGTTTTAGAAATTTGAAGAAATTGTGGAACCAAGATAAATATACTCTCACTGTATAATTCTTTGAGAAAGCACAGTGCAGCCAACAGTTTGAGCATTTCTACTTCATAATGTATAATCATGATAGCTTTTCCAAGATGCTTTTTTGCTTTCTGTATTCCATCAATTCATCCATTGAACTTTTGGGACTAGTTTTTTAGGAAAATATTAAGTCACTGTCTCACTATAACAGCTGTAGCAGCAGCAAGTTTATCTGTAATTCGATTCATGCTCTAATTTTCCCTATTTCCCAGCTAAGGGACAAAATTTATGCTTATCAGACTGAAAAAATGAAGGCCATAGGGTATTATAAAGAACTTCCATTATGCTTAGGGTTAAAATATATTTTCTGAGAATGTGCATTTATAATTTTTCATTATCAACCAAATCACCTATCAAAATTATTGATAATAATTTTGTACTGCTTATTTATATCTGAAGAGTTTTTGCTGTTTGGGTAATCAGGGCCCATAAAATACACTCTTTGGATGACTTCTTCTGGTAACAGAAGAGAAGAAACTGACTCCGTATCCACCCAAAGTTGATTCCTATGAGGCAGAAGTCACATATGCTTCTATCATCTAACCTTCTTTGTCTTACTCTGACACCAACCATCCCACCACAGTGTATCTCTGTTTAGTTTCATAATCCATTGCAGTGGCCAAAAATATAATACTCATGATTATGGGGTTTATTAGGGAAACTTAACAGGTTAAGTTAATAGGTTATAAAATGTTAAAGATACCATTCTTTGGTCCATAGCACCTCTTCTGAGCCATGCTGGCAGACACATCTCTCTCTGGTCCTTGGCCTCCCAACCACTCAGTCTCTTACCTACCCTGCTTGGGCAAGTAAAGCTCTTTTAGTGTTCATAAACTCCCGAAGGGCACCCTTCTGTGCAAGTCAGCCTCCTGCTGAAGGCACTCAGCTTTATTCATTTTTTGCGCCTGGAAGCCCGTGACTCTGTCTCATGGTCTCAGTACTCTATCCCCATTCTTTATACAGCAATCTCTGATGCACTTCATTCCTGGCCCTTATTTCTTAGTAGTTGTGGAATGCTCTTTCTACTTGTTATGGCTTACTTTATATACCTGGGGAGTGGCAGTCTCCTCTGTTAGAATTTAAGTATATGAGGGGGTACCCCCCTGAAAAATGAAAAAGAAAAAACAAAGAAAGATGGGTGGAGCTTTTGTAGTACACATTCTTCCCACCAGGTGAGCATCCAGCAACTCTCTCCGAGTTAGTGCACCCAGTGGCATCACTTGGTCAGTGAATTTTTTAGTAAAAGCAGTTTCTTCTGACGTTTTTTTTTGTGATGGCCAGTTTAAGAGAACAATGTGTGACTGTGAAATTCCGTGCTAGAGAAAAATGCTGTAAAACTGTTGTGATGTTGAACACCGCTTACGAGGACAGCACTATTGGGAAAAATTCAAGTATATGAGTAGTTTTCTTGTTTCAAAAAAGGTGAAATGTCTATTGATGACAAATCTCATTCTGGAAGTCCATCAACTTCGTAAAGGATGAAATGTCAACTCATGCATTTGGAGTTCGTACTACCTGGTCAAGCTTTCTATTTAGAGGTTCTGAAAAGATAGCATAACAGTGTGCGACAAAAAAGGTCTTATTTATGACAGGGGGGGGACTGGTTTTGCCACCACGACAATGCACCTGCTCAACCATCTGAGGGCACCAGATTTTGGCAAAAAAACAACATGCTTCTCTTGCCTCGTGCACCTGACTCACCTGACCTTGCTCCGTGCAACTTCTTTGTTTCCGTGAATGAAGACGAACATGAAAGGACAGCAATTTGACAACACAGAAGAGGTGCAGAAAAAAGTGAGGGAGGTGATGTCAACTATCCAGACAGATGAGTTTAAAGAATGTTTCCAATAATGGAATCCCAGATTTGACAAATGTAATAAGTGTAATGAAGAGTACTTTTGAACGTGATGGGTTGTTTTGTTAAAAAATTTAAATGCATAGCTTTGAAAAAAATATTCCTGGCTACCACTTCAATGATGTAACTTAGTTGAATTACTTAAAATCCTTATGCTTCAGTTTCTCCGCCTATGAAATGGGAATACTATTTAGGGCTTTTTACAAACTACTACCATTTTTTGTACATTATGATGCACATGCTAAAAAAAGGTATTAGTTCCTAATGTTGAAAAGCTATTCATCCTAGAGCCCCCAGCTGGTGCAAGTAGTTAACACACTCAGCTGCTAACCAAAAACTGCTTGTGTGAGTCCCTTGGAAGTACGCATGGTGATCTACTTCTGGAAAATCACCTGTAGACACAGTTACATTCTGTCACATAGGTCTTGCCATGAGTCAAAGTGGACTCAACGGGCCTCATATTTTCCTTCCATTGGCTTCAATTAAATCAGATGCTTGAATAATATTTATATAAAGTAAAGATGCAGCAGGAACGTATTTAAAATAAAACTTAGAATTATATATTATGACTATAATTAAGGTTATCTTAAGATGCTTTTGTTCAATTATTTCAGAGCAAAGATGGAAAAACACCCCTGCACATGACTGCCCTCCATGGTAGATTCTCCAGATCACAAACCATTATCCAGAGTGGTAAAAAAGTATTTCTGTTTCTTTTTGTTGTTTTTTTCTTAAATGTTGTAAAAAAAACCCAGAAAATGAATGGCCTTGAGGAATGGACATAGTGATCTATAGATTTTTAAAAATTGACTTTATATGTCATGAACATCAAGTAAAAAGAATATAGAATATTATGCCTCATTTATATGTCATCTATTTTTGCTTTGTTTCCCTTGAATTATTGTTTTTCTAGCAGTTAATTATTGCTATCTTTAAACATTGCTAAGCATAAAACTGCCTGCTGTAATTCGTTTTCTGTATATTAAGGGAAGTCTTGCATTCCTTATTTTTCTTTTCTTGGATATTTTAAGTAATGCCAGAATTTTTTTTTTCAGGGTTTTATTTTTGTGAGCCTGTATTTTGCATTTGAATTAGTATTAAGTCAGATAAACTTTTAAATAAAAGGAATTTTTATATGTATTCCTTTAAATCATTATTTACCAAATCATGTTCTAAGGAATTGTTAGTAGTTCTCAAATAGGTATTAAAGTTTTACAGGGAAAGTGTAGGTTCATGATAACGCACTACATTCTATACTACAGGGTTCATGCTAACGCACTACATTCTATACTACAGGGTCAGTCAGATATGCTTTAAGAAAATCTGTTCTCTTTTAATATACTGTTTCCCATACTTACAAGATCCTAGAACCTTTTTGTCAACTGAAAATCTGTTAGTCTTATGCTCAGATCACAAAACTATAAAATTTGTAGCTCTAGTGGCTGGCCAATAAATGTATTCTGACTAAATCTAGTTGGAATTGCTCGATCTATTAGTTTGTACTTGAGCAGCATATTATATTACTTTCCATGTAATGAACTTGGCCTTTATGGAATCCAGTGTCTAACAGTACATTCTTTATTGCAGGAGCTGTAATTGACTGTGAGGATAAGAATGGCAACACCCCTTTGCACATAGCAGCTCGATATGGCCACGAGCTGCTAATCAACACTCTTATTACAAGTGGTGCTGACACTGCAAAGTAAGTAGTACTTGCCACCGTGTTGATAGCTCCGACAGAGAAGTACAGAAGAAAATCTATTGCAATTTTCCAGATAGTCTAGGTGGAAAGGAGAATTTTGTTTTCAATATTATACCAATTGTTTGAGCTTTTGCTTTATATTTTTTTGATAATGATCTGATAAAATGAGAGCATAACTTTATTTGGTAAGCCAGTGTGTTTTTGTTTGTTTTTTTTTCCTTTATACTGGTTCTTCCTAGATTTTGCAGCTTTATTGGAGCTTGTAATTTTTGTGGTCCGTTTTGGATTTATTATTTTTAACTTTTACATTGTATTTGAGAACGTAGAGAAGAAAACATGCACCAGTTCGTTTCTACATACACAGCTCAGTGCTTTGATTACACTCTTAAGTTAAATGACCATTTTCACGCTCTTTTAAGGGTCACAGCTAATCTTTTCATTGCTGTTGTCACTTTGATTTCATAAACTCAGTTCAGTGCCGTCAAGTCAGTTCTGACTCTGGTAGCCCTATAGGAAAGGGTAGACTGCCCCTCTGGGTTTCTGAGGCTATAATTCTTTACAGAAGTAGAAAGCCTCATCTTTTTCATACGGAGCAACTGGTGGTTTCCAATTGTTAACTTTCCAGTTTGCAGCCCAGTGTGTTACCCACAACACCACCAGGGTCCCTTGTGATCTCATATAGTTCTTAAAAGAGCATAATGCTCAAGCATATGTTTTTTACTAGTTAAGCTAAATTGTTGTTTGATGTTAAGAGCCTTCAGGAGATGTTTTTGGTTTAATGTTTAGAGATTTTCTCGGGGCACGAGTTTGCAGTTCTTCAGTCTCCATGGCTCTGAACAAAGTCTGGAGTCCATTAGAATTTGGAATTCTGTCCTTCATTTTCCCCCTTTTAGTCAGGAGATCACTTTATTTTTAATCTAGAAATGTTTTAGTCTGGGTTCTCTAAAGAAACAAAACCAGTACACAAAACTTAACTGTCATAATAAATAAATAAAAGACCTGATGAAATTCTTTTTTTATGCAAACTCTGCCTAAAGATAATGGTGCTGACGCTGTCTTCAGAGGAATCCAGAGACCGTACTTTGGAGCTGCTGCCAGGAAGCCCTTGCTGCATACTGGACAGAACTATCACTCTTCCCTGTTGTATAAAAGTTTCCATGTCAGATTCTGTTGTAAGGCTGGTTCTTTTGAACCCTCTGCAAAATTAAACACCCCTATCAAAAACACCCCGTAAGTCATCTTGAAGGCATAAATTAGCTTAGCTTACTAATGAAGAATGCCTACCTTGAGTGTTCTCGTTTAAGTTCTATCTACATGGGGTCAAATTGACAACAGCAACTCAAAAGATGAACTAGCGCAGTGAATTTATGAAGTTTGGATAAAAATTGTTGGTATATGTTGTTCTGTGGACCGTATATACTCGAGTCTAAGCCAAACCAAATATTATCCGAGGCACCTAATTTTACCACAAAAACTGCATTTAAAATGTGCTGAAAAACTCTGCTTATATACAAGTATATACGGTGATATTTTTTTATCATTTTATGGGGCTCTTATAGCTCTTATAACATTCCATACATCAATTGTATCAAGCATATTTGTACAGATGTTGCCATTATCATTTCCAAAACATTTTCTACTTGAGCCCGTAGTATCAGCTCCTCTTTTTTTCCCCTTCCCTTCCCCATGTTCTGTGTATTTTAACAACAAAAAATATCTTTTAAAAGTTAAACCTCTACTTAAATTGATATTCCATCATCCCTGTGTATATTTTTATATTTTTAGTACATTTGGAGCTGCTAACCACAAGGTCCCAAGAAGAAAACCCAAACTCACTGCCATCAAGTCGATGCTGACTCATAGTGTCCCTGTAGGGTGGAAATGCCCCATGAGCTTTTGAGACTTTAACTCTTTATGAGAGTGGAAAGCCCAGTTTTCCTCTCATAGAGCAGCTAGTGGTTTAAAACTGCTAACTTTATAGTTAGCAGCCCAATGCGTAACTGCTATGTCCCCAGAGCCTCCTATACCACAAGATCAGCAGCTTTTCCTCAGAGAAAGAAGCTTTCTACTTCCTTAAAGAGGTACAATCTTAGAGACCCACAAGAGTGATGCTAATCTATCCTATGAGGTCGCCTTGAGTCAGAATCGACTCATGGTGGCAGTGAGAACAAGATAATATAAGGAACTCTACTGATACATCGGGTTAAGCAATGGGCTGTTAACAGTGAGACCAGCAGTTCAAGCCCACCAGCCACTTTGTAGGAGAAAGATATGACAGTCTACTCCTGAAAACCTTGAAGAACAGTTTTACTCTGCCCTAAAAGGTCACGATCAGTTCGGAATTTGCATGATGGTTGTGTTTTTGTTCTTTTTTGTTTGTGCTACATATGTGGGGTGTGCATTCATTAGCAAGTTTTAAACCTCCTACGAATGATAGGCTACTCCTAAGGTATCCTTTTTTTTAACTGCTTTTTGTCCTTTTTTTTTAATTAAGTTCCTCATTTAGTCATTCAGAAAAGAACTTGGACTCTATGGCTTTGTTCACATTTTTATAATTAGCTGTGTTTTATCTGTTTCTTTAAAATATATGTATTTATGAAGATTTCTCTATGTGCTGTAATGAATATTCTTAAACACCTTTTTTTGTGGTATTGATCCTCGGTGGTTGGCAGGAACAGGGTGAGTTGAGTTGGTAGTGTGAATTTTGCATCTCAGGCAAATTATGGAAACAATTTTGCTCATTATAGTTAGGATAAAAGATTGTTGTTACCGGCATATAATGGAGAGAGACTTGAGATACTGCTGAACTTCCTACAGGGTATGGGACAAGCCTCCCCAATGTAATTTAATGTAAAGAAAACGATTGTGTTTTCTTTTTCCATAATCAAGATACTGTCCTACTTTTGTAGACGGGGCATACATGGGATGTTCCCCCTCCATCTGGCAGCTTTAAGTGGTTTTTCAGATTGCTGCAGAAAACTTCTTTCTTCAGGTAAGTTGAACCCTCACAGACTGATTGTCCTTACTTTGTCTCCCCAACTCCCCAGGTATTCAGACTATTCTGGTTTTCCAGTTTGCATATGAATCTATTCAAAGGAGCATCATTTAGTAGCCTCCTTTAGAAGTTTTGTTTCTTTGTTTGGTCAAGGAGGAGACCTGGTGGTGTAGTAGTTACATGTTGGGCTACTGCTAAAGTCAGCACTGAGAAGCCACCAGCTGTTCAACTGGAGAAAGACGGGGTTTTCTAGTCCCATAAAGAGTTACAGGCTCAGAAACTCACAGGAACAGTTCTACAGCCAGTCTTTCAGGGTCCCTATTTGTCAGAATCAATGGCAGTGAGTTTGATTTCATTTTGGTTACCTCTATTTAAAGTATCATTATTATAGTTTTTAAAAGAACATAATGCTCAGGACAGACATTTATTGCTAGTTAAAGCTAAACTATGGTTTGATTTTAAGACTTGGGAGTTAGTTTTGGTTGTGAGGATACCATAAAGCTGGGTAGTGTTTATTGTGTTCTCCATAGGGTTGCTGTGTATCACAGCCAACTCAACAGCACCTAGCAACAACAGCAAGCATAGTTGGTTAAAACAAAACAGGATCAGTGCCATTCTTTAAATGTTATAAAACTATGACCTTATTAACTGTGTGAAATTATTAAATATTTTATAAGGCTTCATTGCTTTTAAGTGATATTGTTATTCAGTGTTAAGAAAGTGGACAATTATGTACATTAAACATTCCTATGTTTGCTAAAAGAGTTATGGATATGTATCAGTGCATTAGACATAGAATAAGACAGTACTTCCTCTGGGCCTTTTATTACATAGTTTTATTAATTTGTGTGTGTGTGTGTGTGTGTTTTATTAAGATGTAATTTGCATCTCATACAATTTAAAGTGTATAGTTTTGTGTTTTTTAGTAATATTCACAGGTGTGTAATACCACAATACATTTTAGAGCCTCCTCCTCTTCCACTACCTCCCACCTCTTTAGTTGTTAGTTCCCATTGTACTCTTCAACCCTAAGCAATCACTGCTAATCTACTTCTTTTATAGATTTGCCTATTCTGGTCCATTCATATACATAGAATCTTCCAAGATGGCCTTTTGTGACTGACTTCTTTTACTTAGTATACTCTTTTCATAAACCATTTATTTGTACTTCATTTCTTTTTATTCCTTAATGTCCTATTGTGTCCTATGTTTTTTAAACAGTCTGACATTTTTTAATAGGTCTGATTCTTGGATAGTAATTTTCTTTTTTGGTAATGTACATCATTAATTTATTTTCTCTTCATTAATTCTCTCCCTGTTCAGAATTCAGGATTTTGTTTGAAATTGGGACAGGATGATTCTTGACATTTCTGGATATGATATCTTAATGTAAATATATGTAAGACATATTCATTCTTACAGGATTTGATATAGATACCCCAGATGATTTTGGCAGGACTTGTCTACATGCAGCTTCAGCTGGAGGGTATGTTCATTTTATTTCTTTAAGAAAAGGATGGCTGATTGATACAGTCTTTATCTTCGTTTCTCTTATTAATTTGGGGGAAACAATATAGGAAACAAAAATCTGAGGGGTTCCCCCTCAAAAACAGTAATTACACTGGTTAGGACGGAGCTTTTGTAGTACACATTGAGCAACTTGCTCTGAATTAGTGCACCCAGTGGCATCGCCTGGGAAGGTTCTCTCTGATCACAGTGAATTTTTTTTTTTTCTTTTTTTTTTTTAGAAGCAGGCTTTATTGAGACACTTGCGGGCGGGTTCAGCAACTCAGGTATTGAGCTGGTGAAACCGCCTTTTTTTTTTTCATAAAAGCAGTTTCACTGGAACCTCATTTTTTATGGTGGTCAATATAAGAAAACAGTGTGCCACTGTGATATTTTGTTTCTTGGGAAAAATGCCACAGAAACTTGTTGAACACAGCTTACAAAGAAAATACTATAGGAAAAATTCAAGTGTATGAGTGGTTTTCTCGTTTCAAAAAGTGAAATGTAGATTGATGACAAACCTACTTCTGGACTTCTGTCACCTTCCTGAACGAATTCATCATAGTGCATTTGGAGTTCATTTCACCAGGTCAGACTGTTAATCAAGCTTTCTATTTAGAGGTTCTGAAAAGATTGCCTAACCGTGTGTGACCCCCAAAAAAGGCCTGGTTGGTGGCAGAAGAGGGACTGGTTTTGCCACCACGATGATGCACCGGCTCACACAGCCATCTCAATGTGCCAGTTTGAGGCAATAAATAACATGCCTCTCTTGCCCCATGCCCCCCCTTACTCACCTGACTTCTCTCCATGCAACTTTTTTGTTTCCATGAATTAAGAGGGACATGAAAGGACAACAATTTGGCAATGTAGAAGAGGTGCAGGAAAAAGTGAGAGAGGTGCTGTCAGCCATTCAGACAGATGAGTTTGAAAAATATTTCCAAGAATGAAATCACAGATTTGACAAATGTATTAAGTGTAATGGAGAGTACTTTGAAGGTGACAGGTTGTTTTGTAAAAAAAATTAAATATATAGCTTTGGTGAGGGGCGAGAATTCCAGGTTTGGAGGAGTGGGTAACCCCCTCATATAACAGGAATGGTGTTTTAGACCAGGTTGACTAGAGAAACAAATCCAAGGACACTCGTGTGTAAGAGAGAACTTGATGTCAAGAAGTAATTATGGATCAATAAAACATCCATAAGTCATATTAGCCCGTGAATTCCTCTTCCAACTTACGTAGCACATGCTATGATGCAAAATGCAGGAAGGTAACAGGCCAGTGGGTGCAACGTCTTGTGGATGTAGTGGCAGTGTATCTCAGTGCTGGCACAGAGACAGGTCTCACGTGGCTCCTCCAGCTGTCTTGAGTGTGACTCCACACGGCTTGTCGATAGGAGGATGAAAGCAGAGAGAGAGAGGGGGCCCACTCCTTCTGATGGAGAATCAATATGAGAAGGCCACGCCCACAAGGAGGCATCATCAGGCTGTGACCTGATTGACAGGCGAGACTTCACACCTAGAATGATTTTTCAAGTGGACATGAAATTATGTAACTGCCACACGTGGATTGAAATTAAAAAATCCAAGGGGACAGAAGTTGCTTGTTTCATCTTCTGAGGAGCCTTGGTGACATAGTGGTTACACATTGGACCGCAAATTGCAAGGTCAGCAGTTCAAAACCTCCAGACACTTATAAAGGAAGAAAGATACAGTTTTCTACTCCCATAAAAAGTTACACTCAGAAACCCACATGGGCATTTCTAAAGCTTGTGCTATAAGGTCACTATGAGTTGGCATCAACTCAGTGGCAGTGACTTTGGAGATTGTGTATAGGCTAAGCCATAGGTTGTTAGTGGGAGAGTAGACCCCAAAAGGAAGTTTCACTTTCCCTAAGAGAAAATAATACTGAGATAAATAATAAGATGATTTATTACGATAAATTGTTTTTATTTAAAGAGAAATTCCACTTACGGACCTCAAATCCTTAGGAAAGTTTTGACTAATATTCTTTATGTGTTTTTTCTTAATTTCTCTGTAAATATGTATTTATCATAACTGAGTCGGGAAAATTTAATGATTTTTGTATTGCCTCTCTACTTAGAACTAATATAAAAAGAGGGAATTTTGAAAGTGTAAGATCTTGAACTAGATGGTAAGACAAGGCAGTTAGTATGAATGAAACAAATGCTTAAATTTTGAAAGCATACTGCTAATAGCATACTGCTAGCATTCCTGATCACTGAGGGAGGATCTGGTGATAAGCTATTTAATTCTTAGTTACTTGTCCAAAGAATGCTTTATTAAGAACCTTATTCTTAGTTATAATTACTTCTGAAAATCACAGTGATTTCAGAGAACACATGTGATTAAGCAAGAACACCAGTGGACCAGTCTGTCTTAGTTGTAGAGATGGATGTGAACATATGACTGGCTCCCCTTGTTCCGCCAAAAACACTGGAAACGTTTAAGTTAAAACAGCCATGTAAATTGCCACAGAAGGATAACAGACAACATGAGTGTTCATTTGGCAGTTAATTATTTTCATTGTAACTTAGTGAGGTGATGTTCAGGTTAATAAAAACTGAATTAAATTTCAGAAATGCCTACTCATGTCGTGTACTCTCCTATAATTTTAATATAGAACATGCAGTACTATTCACATTTACCCTCATTTGAGAACATGCACTTACACTGATTTAAGCCTACCATTTTCCTTCTAAAACAACCGACAATTAAGTTTCTAACTCTGCTTTTCCTGAATAGAAATTTGGAGTGCCTAAACCTTCTGCTGAATACCGGTGCAGACTTCAACAAAAAGGACAAATTTGGGAGGTAAGGTACAATATAGTTCTTCAATAGTTCTTCAGTTAGTAATTTTATTTACTTAATGACTTTCTTGACCTAGCTGGTTTATGAGAATTAAATGAACTTTTCAACATCTTTTGCACTGTGATCAAGATTTATTGATAGATCCAACTAACATCAATAATGTCTAAAGGTTCGTTCTCACCCACAGATGGTTTGCAGGCACTTGGGTCCCTGCCACAGTTGTGGGCTACCAGCCCTAGATTTACACCCTCCATAGCACCTCTGTACCTCTTACTCACTTCTCTCCCCTCATACTTAGGGCTATCGACATGTGAAAACTCCATGGAACCTGGTTGGTTGGTTGTTTTTTTCCAAGAAACCGCAACACCTAGGATTGAGTAGTTAGATCTCTCTCCAAGTTATTCTTTCTTTTTTTTTTCAAAATCATTTTATTAGGGGCTCATACAACAACTCTTATCACAGTCCATACATACATCAATTGTGTAAAGCACATTTGTACACTCATTGCCCAAGTTATTCTTTCTTATAGGCTCTGCTACCCAGATGTGGTTATGGGAAGAAAGAGAGAAACTAGCTTACAAATATATGTGTGATTATTGTTTTGTTCTCCTCTTTAACCCCTCCCACACCTGCATGCACACATCCACACACCCAGGAAGTAGCATCTGCAGGACCAAAGATGGCAGCTTTGAAATGAGTGTCTCCTCCTTGTTGATCTGTGGGCTCTGTCTCCTGCTGTTCAGTCCCAAGCGTCATAGTTAGTAACATGTGGGAGCTGTCCTTAAAATCACAATTACCATCTTACAGTAGAGATTGACCCTGAATACATTAGAACTATACAAGAAAAGATTGAAAGTAGTGTGACTTCATTTGAAAGATAGAGTTGTCAATATAGTGAATAAAACTGTGTGTGCCAGCTTAAGGATTACATGTGTCAGAGAATGTATAGGGGGAGAGGTATGTGTCAAGAGGACTAGTATGTATGATTGAGTAGTGCAGAGGTCAGTAGACTTTATGTATGACAGAAAACCAAATGAGTAGAAGCAACGAAAAACAGCTGTTTGACCCAGTTTGACTTTGAGCTGTGTAATAGAAGGACATAATGATCCACAAAATTTAAAAATCACTTTGTTTAGGTTTGATATTTTTATAGCTAATTTACTTTAATATATTTTAATACAATTGTGTTAATTTGTAATATATTTCAATACAGTTGTGTTAATTTGTAGCATCTTAAGCATTTTATACTACAAATAACAAGGAAAGATTCTAAATGTAATCTGAAGTTTTAGAGGCTTGAAAATAATTCACGGCTATTAATACATTTTTCAAAAACCTCTCTAGTAGTATCCCATAAGGTAAAAATGTCTTTGTGTCACTTCACTAATAAATGTTTTAAAACAATCAGGGAGACTTAACTCAAAAGTTTACCGCTTTGCTGTTTTTTCTTCTCCCTCTCTTTTTGGTAATAAAAAGCCCTGGCACCATAGTTTTGTACTCCAACGACAGTGTCTCCTATATTATCATGCTGTTAATATAACTAAGTGTTCTTTTTAATGCTTTTGTGTTTTCTTGCTCTTTATTTCTGTGCTCATGCATACATAGAGGCTACTGCTATCTGAAGTAAAGCCTCCCTGGAACATTTGTATTAACCACGCTCGGAGAGGGGCTTTGCTTAAATGAGCGTGTTCACTAGACAAAAAACTGAGGATATAATTAATCCACTCAAGGGCTTGGTAGGGGCCGGGGAATAGGCAGGTACACAATGGGAAAATTTAACCTTATTTTCATCTCGTTTTCTCTATTTAGAATCTGTGTGCAACTTTATCATTCTAGGGGTCTGTCCAGCCATCCAAAACATTTAAACTTAACAGAAGTTAATTAGAACTCAGTAGAAAGGCCATATTTGTACCTGGGTGGTGTAAAAGTAAAATATGTTCATGTTTACTGGTGCGTATCTGGTTTTTCTTTTTCTGTTAACTTGGACACAAAAGATCTCCACTACATTATGCTGCTGCCAACTGCAATTACCAGTGCCTGTTTGCTCTTGTGGGTTCAGGAGCAAGTGTGAATGACCTTGATGAAAGAGGCTGTACGCCCTTGCACTATGCAGCTACATCAGACACAGATGGCAAGTAAGTATCATATGAATGAGAATGAATGATTGTATAAACTAATACCTTCCATGTAGGTGGCTATTTTTTTTTTAATTCCTGTTTTATTGGCGCCTCGTATAATGCATACATATATCCATTTTGTCAAATACATCTATACATATGTTGTCATCATCTTTTTCAAAACATTTTCTTTCTACTTGGGCCCCTGCCATCAGCTCATTTTTCCTCACCCCTCCTTCCCCCATGCCACCTTGATAATTTTTTCTTGTCTCACTGACTGCTACTGCTGTCTCATTTCACCCACTTTCTGCTATCTGTCCCCCTGGAATGGGAGCCATACATCGATCATTGTAAGCGTTTCCCCCTTACCCCCCACCCACCCACCCTTACTCTTGAAGTAACACTGCTCCCCTTATTGGTCCTGAGAGATTTATGTGTTCTGGATTCCCTGTGTTACAAGCGCCAATCTGTACCAGTAACATGTTCTGGTCTAGCCAGATTTGTAAGATAGAATTGGGGCTTATTGGGGTGGGGTGGGGGGGGTGGAGAAGCATTCAAGAACTTTATTGCAAATTTAATTTTTGTATGTTTGTGGTTGGTTATATTTCCCCAGGTCCCTCATATGAGAAATAAGTTGGTTTCATAATTCCTAAATCATAATTATCTCTCCGGGTTCTTATACGACAAACTGCCTCACCTTTTCTACTGGTGGAAGAATGATTAAAGGTTCTTTTTCCATCTTGCCAAAAGCACACCTTCCGATCAGTTCGATGTTTTTTCATCGGTCTGCCCTCAGAGGGTGCAACCTTAAGTATTTCATGGGGGAAGGGAGAAAGGAGAAACATACAAGCAATAACATTGGAAGATTGCAACATAAGTATTCCTTATAGATAGAGAGTTTAGATTTGCAGGGGGTCCTTACAACTTGGTATCTTTTATTAAAAAATAAGAGGAAATGAACTGGTAGAACGTGGGACCCCGTGAGTACTAAATATTGCTTGAATATTGCAGGTATTGGCCGAAGTTGACTAAGCAAGAACAAAATTAGGAGAGAGATAGATTGAGAAACAGAAAACTCTGGCTTGATGAAAGTATTGTCTAAGAAACAAACTCTTTTTCCCATAGCTTCAAATTGCTTTTTTTTAATAATGCATGTGTGTCTGTTAATAAGTGATTGTTTATCGATCACCTGTCAGTATTACATTTGCTGCTTGGATATTTCCTAAGAGAAAGTGGCTTATACTTGGGGGATTTTTGACACACTGGTGTCAGAAGTGACAGATAGTAATTATAATTCTCCCTTGCCTGTGCCTCTCTTTCCTATTTTCAGTAAATATTGGAAGATCATCAA